ATCCATCCATCCATCCATCCATCCATCCATCCATCCATCCATCCATCCATCCAAGAAACTTCATATTATAAATTAAAGAATAGGTCAATGCATTTCTTTAAAAAAGTCAGAAATGTTTTTCCTCCCTCTTTATTTTTTATAACCTGCTGTGGCATTAGCAAAGTATGTCATAAAACACTGGACATGTTTTAAGTAAACTTTCAGAAAGTAATTATTTGTTGAATGTCTTCAGTTTGTGAACATTTGGAGAACCATCACAGCTAATTGACATTAGCCAAGACAAAAATTGCTATAACTTAGTCGGTTTTGCACGTACAGAGTTGAAATATGATTCTCAACACATTCTCATGCACATTTTGGGGCAACATTATAATCTCTACTCATCCTTTCAAAATTGTCAATTTACAAAGAACAAAATACAAAAGTGATATCTTGAATTTAACATAAGTGCTTTAGTTTAACTGAAGCATCCAGCAGTTTGTGACCGGCTCAGGAGGAAGTCAAGAGAAAAGGGAGGATTCCTGCTGGTTGGTGGATGAGGTGACGTCTCCACTCGTGCGACCAGCTGTTGTTCACAATGTCAAGATCAACCGTGGAGACGTGCCCTGCACGAGTGAATTAATATGTTTGTGTGCACGAGGGTGTCTTACCAGGGGAAACGCGTGGGAGATTTTGCCATCGGGGGGCAGCTTAGCTCCGAAGCCGTAGGCAGGAAAGAGCTTGTCACTGTCGTAGTCCTGGATTATCTCTCCCACTGCTTTCAGGGCCATGGCATAAGCATTCATCTGGTAAGGGCTCATATAGTGGAGAGAAGTGGGCTGGGACGGGTTACCTTAAAAACCACGCATAAAAGAATAAAATAAGGTAAACAACAACAACAGATCTCTATTATAATTTTAGAGCAATGACACTCAAAACCACAGAGGGACTGTTGATACATTTCACATTCAGAACGTTTGAGATGGAACTGTTGCTTCTTGTAGGTTTGAAACGTTAAGCATGTTTATTGCATCGCAAATAGAAAGAAGCACGTAAATGATAAAATATAATCACTTAACATTGACTATTGGTCAAAACGTGGTCCCCTGAATGAAAGATCGCTAATGACAAAGGCAAAGGCCGAGTGATGGTTTTGTCTGTTCATCAGTACTGTTAGCAAAATTAATCAAACCCATGAACCATACGATGGATTTTAATTAAACTTTCAGAAAATATTCATTAAACAAACAACTATAACCAAATGACTTTTTGAGTCAATCTGATTTAAGATGCTACAGGAAAGTAATCATAAATACAAACTTTGCTATAAGTCAGACAATTTTACAGATACTGAGCTAAAATTCGGTGTGGTAGTAGCTAAGCATTGTCCCAAACACAGTAACACACGTTGAGCGCACCACATTGCTTAACATTTTTTGCTTATAACTTTGACATTACATGTTGCTATTAACCCTGATTGTCTGTTAGCAAAATGTCCCATGAACCACTGGACAGATTTTATTCTTGGATATATATCTGAAGACCTTTAGAGTCAGCCCAGTTCATGACAGCCACCACAGTTAATTTATCAAGGTTTAACCAAAATGGCTACAATTTAGGTCTTAAACATAATTTGATTCTACTCTAAAACTCTAGCATGAAAGGAGGTGAGTGATATAAATTCCTTCAAACAATGTTAGGTCTTTAATTTTTTTTGCAAATAACCACAATCCAAAGGTGACACATGATGACTTTACATGTAACCCCTGGCAAAAATGATAGAATACTCATTTGTGGAAGATGTTTCGTTCAATTGTTTAATGTTGCGTTAAAAATAAATAAACCACAGACATGCCGTAAAACTAAACGGTACTCTTCATCTCCACTCTTATTTATCCAGCCTTTGCAAGTTGGAGCCTTGTCACTGACCGAACAATGTTCAGTCAGGTCGTCTGGACGGTTTCTTTTTTTCTGCTTTTTTGTTTGGTGTTTCCTCAGACCGATGAAGCTCTTCGGATGGAAAGCAAAACGTCTCAGCACAAAAAAAAAGAAACCGGTCAGATGACCTGACTGAACATTGTTGGATTTTATACCTGGATTATTAAGCATGGACTTTGGTCTGTTGGACTGTTGCTTTTCCATTTTCCACCAAAGTTTCAACTGGACTGAGATCTGAAATATTTTCAGGCCATGCCTTTGACATGATCTGTCTTTCTTGAAAGACATTTTTCACAGTCTTTGCCCTATGCCAAGCCTTATTAACATCTTGAACAACAAAGTTATCCTCGCCAAACACTCTTTCAACTGATGGAATGTTAAGTGTCTAAAATATCAACGTAGCTGGAGGGTTTCAGTTTTTTCCCCCAGGTTCCTGGTTCCTGGGTGACGCAATGAGCAGCGGCTGTTGGTCATCGTCCTAATGAGCTCCATGAGTATAAAGGGCTGCAGGAGAGCTCCCTCCCTTGCTGGAGCGTTACATACCTATTGGTAGTTGCTATCAGCCTTCTCTTGGTTTGTGAACGTAAAAGACTTATACTTACCTTCTTTTCTCCTCATGCTCCTAGTACCTGCCTCCTGAGTCTCCAACCCTGGATCCCTCATCTACTTCCTCTGGCCTGCAAGAGAACCATACATACCTTCAGCTGCTCAGCTGACTTTCACCACCAGCCTTACTACTTACCTCTACCTGAAACTGCCTACCCTGTTCTCAATGTGTCGAGGTCTTCACCTTCCAGAAAGAGTTAAACAACCTGAGATTAACCAAACATCCTTCCATGATCCTGGACTCACACTATTTCCTGCTCCCTTAGGTTTCCCCAGTCTCCCTTGTAAATAATACTGTTCAATATTATTCACTGTAAATAAATCACTGCAATCACATCTAAGTTTGAGCCTGCTTACCCTCAGTCTGGTTCTCTCTGGGTTTTACATCATAATTGTGATAGTAGACTTATTGAAGCTGTTTTGATAGTGGTACTTTAAATTATAGTTTTGTGGCATTCCTGTGATTTATTTTTCATACAAAATTAAACGGTTGAATGAACATCTTCCAAGATTGGGGATTCCATAACTCTTGCCAGGGATCATATTTGGGTGTTTCATGTAAATTCACAGCTAGTCTTTGACAGGCAGTCACATGCACAACACAAAGATCAGCACATCGCCTGCAGGGGGAAAAAAATAAAACTATTGTGATCCAAAATGCTTTTGTTTTTCATTTTGGGTGTCCCAGACGTAGCATGCATCATTTGCATTCTTAACAGAGACTGGTTATGAGATTAATTATGTGAAGACAATCTGTGTTAGTAAAGCTGATAGCTGCAGGAAGAACACGACATTTTATCTCTTTTAAAATAAAAAAAAATCATACAGAGGATTATAAAGAAGAAACATCGCATTATTAATAACACTCTTGCTGAAGCATATGCCAGGAATATAATTATAGCCCACACTTTATTACATGCCAATGCAAATGAAAGCCAGCTCCCTCCTCCCGCTCTCTTGGATAAGATGATCTGAAGTCTCTCCTCTGTTCTAAAAGGAGTGACCCGCTTTTACAGGAGATGAAAGGATCGGATTAATCTGATAAGCCGCAGCGGATTCCACACTCAAACACACACATTGTAATGTGTTCCCCTTAATCCAATTGAGCTTCCCACCATGCCACAGGTGCACATTGCACCTCTGGACACAATAAATACCAAACGCCTTCCCTGTATCTGGTGCACCGTGCACGTTTCATCAGTAAAAGCAAGAACGTAGTAATACATTCAAGGCAGTGCACTGCACAACACAAATGAGTCTAAAATGTGAGGAAAAATAATAATAATCTGATTGTTTCTCAAACAAAAGGGAGCGTCATATTTTACATTGAAAGGATGCAATTCAAAACAATCTCTTTTCGATCTGTAATTGAAGTCAGTTTCAGAGAAATCTGAAGTTTCAAAAAGAGATGTAGCACATGGTAATAAAGAGGCATAAGAAGAACCACGCTTGGAAAAAAAAAAAACTAATTAGTCCCCATGCTATATCCAATTAATTTACAAGCTGAGCCAAGTATTTTATTTATTCTCAACAGACTTGTCTTCAGTTTGCTACAGGTCAAAGCCATCATTAACTTTTTTTTTTTTTTAAAGAACGCAATTCAACTGTCACCTTCCACACCAGAGTTTTAAACCAATGTTAAAGAATGTTTAAGATTTTGCTGTTTTGGTTAAATCTCAAGAGTACAGTATCTTTCTGCGAAATCTCAAGTGATCAGAAAACGCATTGAGTATGTGATCTGAATGACTCTCAGCAACTACCACACCAAATGTCAGCTCAATATCTGTAAAGTGGTTGTGTTATAGCTATTTATTCATTTAGTAAGGTTGGTTAGCTGTGGTGGCGGCACAGTGGCACAGTTGGTAGAACTGCCGCCTCTCAGCGAGCACGTCGCCCCGGTTCAAATCCTGGCCGTGTTTTTTTTTCTGGGTGGAGTTTGCATGTTCTCTCCGTGCATGCGTGGGTTTTCTCCGGGTACTCCGGTTTCTTCTCTCAGACCAAAAACATGCATGTTAGGCTGATTGGTAACTCTACATTGTCTCTAGATGTGAGAGAACGAGTGGATAGTTGTTTGTCTCATTTGTCTCTACTTGGCCCTGTGACGGACTGGAGACCTGTCCAGGGTGTCCCCCACCTCTCGCACAGTGATTGTTGGAAATGGGCACCAGTGACCCCCACAACCCAGAAAGGAAGAAACAGGTAAAGATAATGGATGAATGGACGGATGGGCGGATGGATGGTTAGTTCATAATCAGAATAATCTTTATTATCATTGTACCGAGATACAGCGAGAATATGTCCATACAGTCGTTCAAAAGATGGGCGGAGTGCACGTAGCTGTGGTAGCCATTGTGAATTGTTTCCAAGAGTTACACACTAGTAGATGTTTATCTAATGATTACGTTCAAGAGTTTAATTAAAATTTGTCAAGTGGTTCATGAAATTGATGCAAGTAAAGAAATGCAGAAAATAAAGACAATACAACAATACATAATTTTACCTGCGTGGCTAAAAACAAACCAGGAGCTGGCCTACCATTTGATGCTGTGTAGTCGATAGCCACTGTGAAATTCAGTTGAGTCCTGTTGCAAATAAAGCGAGAACAACAAAGTGAATTACGTACTTCAGTATTCTTGACATGGATCGTTGTATGTCCAACACACAGATACACCAGCACAACGAACCTTCGTCCAATCAGCTTCCTGATTGACTGGGAGCTAAGAAGCATGGCGTAACAAGTGTCTCCTCACCACCTTGAATGTTTAATTAGATCAAACTAATGAAACCAGCCATTCAAAGTGAAGGACCTGAATGAATTTAGCATTTGCAAATTATATTTACTGACACATTACCCCAAACTTGAACCACTCAAAGCAAGCTTGATATGCATTTGGGAAATTCCGTCAAGCGTCCTCAGACTCGAACACTTGCAGACACAGAGACTTTTGACACTTATCTATGAGTGTGGGCTAATTGTTATTCCACTCACCCTCCTCGGATGAAATCCACGAAGGTATACTCCGACTCCACTTTGAAGGACAGCAGAGTTACCTGGCAAACACAAACACACACATAGCAACACACACACGGTGTGATGAACAGAGAAGGACGACAGAATAAAGACCAAGACAAAACAAACAGGTAGCCAGACAGAGTAAGAGTCAAAGAGAGGAAAGAAGATGCAAAAGGTGACATCACTTTTATTTTAAAACAATTATGCAGCAACACAGGCGAGATAATAACATTACAAGCTGATGCAGGAGCACTTACAGTCCCAGAATTGATGTATTTCTTCTTTTTGCCTTTCTTCTTGGGATTTAAAACCTGCATGTGAAGAAAAAAGCTACTTGTAAAACCATTTTAAAACTTCAAATGATACTTTATACACTGCATGAATAATTCAGTAGATTTCAAATAACAGAGGCAGACAATACAATCTGATAAAACTACAGGTTTCTCTTTGGGGTGATTTTGTTTTGGATTTAAAGTTCTGGGACTGTCAGGGACACACAAAATATTAAAGGCCTAGCATTACTTGAAAAAATGTTTTTTGCCCATCAACCTTCAAATCAGATTTTTAAACTAAGATCATCTTAAATAATGCTGAGTACTAGCCCAACCCTAAAAATGTGTATACCTCTCAGTTATTACCAAATCAAATCTTAGCTCAATACCAGCTAAACTGACAGTTATAGCAATTATTTTGTTGGCTAAGCTAAATAAGCAGTGACATCTAGCTTGAACTTAGTTGACTTCAAAATTGAATCAGTTGTAGATCTTCATGGAAGGGTGTTTTTCTGAAAGAGTCATTAAAATCCACCAAGTTATTTATGAAATATTATGCTAATAGACAAACATAGTTGACTCCAAATAGTAAATAACAAACTTTAAAACAAATATATGTGTTGGGAATCAATCTCAGTGATGATCAAAACCAATATTTTGCTCAGTATTTGTAAAACTGACTCAGAGCTATTTTGCCAAAAACGTTCTCATCTGCATTTATGCACTGAACAGTACAAGCTATCTATTATCACAGTACATCACAATATTACACAAATCTTCCCCATAGTACAGACACATTGCACATAAACCATATTGCACACCCCTTTATACATAATAAACACTGCTAATTACATATATTGCCCACACATACACTCCCATCATATCTTGGACAGCTTTACTGCCCTGAATGATGCTGTTTAAAAGTCTGATGGAGGAGGACATAAATGAGTTTTTAAAGCGGTTTAGTTTGCAGCGAGGGGCTCTAAACTGTCTTCCGGAGGGCGAAAGCTTGTACGCTTCTTGTGGAGGATGTGTGATGGATCGGTCGCTATTATCGGAGCTCGACTAAGAACGCACTGCTCATATAAAATAATCACAGGGATTGAGTTCTTTCTACCACCATCGTGGCCGTTTTATTCAGAGGAGTTTAGTTTTAGATTTAGGGCCAAGTTTCCATACCATGCTGACATCCTGGATGAACCCCTTAGAAACTTGGCTTTCAAACTGTTAACGTTCTGACTCATTTAAATGATTCTGGTCAGTTTGTGATCCATGTACTCCTGGACCTTACTGCTGCTTTTGATACTGTTGACAACAGTATCCTTATATCATAGTTAGAAAACTGAGTTAGGACTGCAGGTGCAGCATTAGAGTGGTTTCGTTCTTATCTGAGTGACAGGAATTTTGGTGTTAATGCTAGTAATATTTTATCTGCTTCAGTGCCTCTTTCCTGCGGTGTTCCACAGGGCTCAATTCTTGGACCCCTTCTGTTTTCACTGTATCTGCTCCCTTTGGGGTCTGTCCTGTGGAAACATGGTCTTTCATTTCATTGTTATGCTGATAATTGTCAGATTTATTTGCCCTTAAAACCCAATCATTCTTGCACAATTCACCCTCTGTTAAAATGTTTTGATGACATTAAAGCATGGATGGCTTCACATTTTTTAAGTTTCAACTACCAGAAAACTAAAGTTACTGTGTTTAACCCTAGCTATACTGCTGTCTCTGTTTAATTCTGTTCTACAAAAAAAGCTTCTTCCAGTTAAGGCAGATAGCTAAGCTTGAGTCAATCTTGACCAGATCTAACCTTGAAAAAATAGTCAATGCCTTTATTACAACATGACTGGACTACTGTAACGCGCTTTATGTCGGGGTGAGTCATGTCTCCCTTTCACATCTCCAGCTTGTCAAAAATGCTGCAGGTCTTAACAAGAACTTGTAGGTTTGAACATATTTCACCAGTTTTGTCCTCCCTTCACTGGCTCCCTGTACATATCAGGACAGATTTTAAAATTCTCCTGTTGACCTTTAAGTGCCTAAATGGCTTTGAACCTTCATACCTCTCTGACCTACTTCAACCGTATGTTCCTTCAGGTGCTGAGCTGAGATCATCTGACCAGCTGCTTTTGGTTGTACCAAAAACCAGGCTGAAGCTCAGAGGAGATCAGGCATTTTCAGTTATGGGTTCTAAACTCTGGAACAACCCCCCCCCCCCCCCCCCCCCCCAACATTAGACAGGCCACTTCACTTTCAGTTTTTAAATCTCTCCTAAAAACTCACCTATTTCCACTGACTTTTAACAGAGTGTGATTTGATTTAGGATTTCATTTTATATTTTCAGTTTTCTTATGCTTTTAATTTCATTGGTTATTGCTTTTTTCTTTAATTACTGCCATTGATTTTTACTGTTAAGCACTTTGGTAACAACTGCTGTTTGTAAATGTGCTTTATAAATAAATTTAACTTGACTTGATTTACTTGACCTGCAAAGGACAGTGGCAAAGGCTTGTGACCCCATTTATTGTTTTAATGTACAACCTTTCCTAAAAACAAGGACCTATGGAGAGCACAAAAAATCTAAACAAACCTTAATACCATTATTATTTATTATTAATTATTACTAGATGAAAATATGACATAAACATGTAGTTTTTAAGCTGATTTCTGGACATTGCAGCCTATTGTAGCCACTTAATGTTTCATGGCCCACATTTGGGTCACAAACCTATCTTTGGGAACCACTGCTCTAGAGCAGCCGAATAAAATAAAATAAAAGTTATAAAATAATAACATCTTTTTGGTGTCCACACTGAAGATTTTAGGTGAGGCAACTGAAAATATCCCGTTTGACTGCATGTATATCGACCAATCAACCGACTCTCCGTTCATCCAGTAAACTTTTTTCTTTTTTAAATCAGATACCCATTAGAGACTTATTTCCTCACTCATTTGCTGCTGTTTAATGTGTTTTTTTACATCCAAATTTTCCTCTTTTGAGCAGAATTTAATGAGCTGTGGACTTTAATGGAGTTAGCAGTTCAAAAGTGTAATGGCTAATTGTTGTGCATGTGTGTGTGTGTGTGTGTGTGTGTGGGTGTTTCCTGCAAAGCAGATAAGAACTTTTTCTTCATAAATAATTCTGTTTCTTCTTTTCTTTTTGTTCCTCCATACTCTAATTTAGTTTGGAAGTGCACCATTATACAGAGAAGGTTAAAATTGGTTTATTTGAATAAAAAATTGTATCTTAATGCATGGATAATACAACTGTGGGGATATTTCAGCCTGCACTTGGGGTACATTTTCAAAAAAGTACATTGGTGCTAAAATATTTTCATCAAAAGTCAAAAAGAAACGTGACTTGTTTTAATTCAATTCAGTTTACCTATAAAGTGCCAGTTCACAACAAAGTTGTCTCAGGGCACTGTACATTCACATAGAAAAAACAATTAATAAGTTCTATGAAGGAAGACATACGAGTCCATTTTAAGTAAAAACCTATACATTTTTCAAACCTCAACCAAACTCTTTATTGGTTTGCAAATGTCTAAACCGAAAAGAACAAAAATTAAAACAAAAAGAGATAGAAACTCAAAATAAAGTGTCAGAAATGAAGAAAACTCTTATAATAGTCATTGCCAATATCTAATTTGCACATTTATAAATAATGTTTCATAAAAGATAATGAAGCAGCACGGTGGCGCAACTGTTAGAGCTGCTGCCTCTCAGTGAGCAGGTCCCTGGTTCAAACCCCGGTCCAGGGGCCTTTCTGGGTGGAGTTTGCATGTTCTCTCCGTGCATGCGTGGGTTTTCTCCAGGTGCTCCAGTTTCCTCTCACAGACCAAAAACATGCATGTTAGGCTGATTGGTAACTCTAAATTGTCCCTAGGTGTGAGTGAGAGAGTGAATGGTTGTTTGTCTCGTTTGTCTCTATGTGTCCCTGTGATGGACTGGAGACCTGTCCAGGGTGTACCCCGCCCCTCGCACAGTGATTGCTGGACATGGGCACCGGCGACCCCCGTGACCCAAAATGGAATAAGCGGGTAAAAGATGATGGATGGATGGATGGATGGATGGATGGATGGATGGAAAGGAAAACAAAAAGCCTGCAAGCCTAGTATTAAATATTTCTTAGATAAAACCTTGAAAGAGCTCCTATGATGCAAGCTGGATTTCAGTTTTGGTCTTGTGGCAGATATTTCTTTTCACCTGTTATATTTTTCTTTGTGTTTGGTGTTGTTAGGTAGGTCTCCATCTGTTGTGGTGTTCCTTGAACACATCTACTGCTTTTGTAGCTTTCTTGCATTATTTCTCTTTGGAGTCTGATGTGAAGCACATCTTTTATTACAATTGGTTGTTCTGTTCTCTTATTTTGTGCAACAACTGAATTTGCATCATCTTATTCTCATTTTAATTGTAAGATTCAGCCATATGCTGCAGGGGGGGCTCTGCTTGTCAGCATGCTTTAATCAGTGAATGAAATGTTGAGCTGTAGTTAGGAGCAGTAATTTGACCTCTGCATGGGAGCTGTCCTCTGAAGAAAAACATTAGAGACTACAGATTTAATTGTCCAGGTCTAAATCTCATATCATTGGTTAAGACATAGGCATCACGACAATTATATGTGAAGGGGACATGACCCCCCCCCCCCCCCACACACACACACACACACACACACGCTTTAAAAAAAATACTTATTTGGACCCCCCACCCCCACATTTGTCATGTAACATTAGTTCACCCAGCGCTGTTTCTTTCTTCATGAACAAATCCATTCCATTTGATTAATAGGAGAATACTCAAACCACTAAAAGTCCACTCCAGGTTTTCCTGGTTACCTACAACAACTCACCACCACAAATTTTTCTACAAATTTGAGTCAACAAGTCTTCAACATGCAACATCCCAGTGAGAATACAGTATACCTTTAGCCTCTGACGAAAAAAGTAACAATTACATCGCCTACATACGTATTGATTTTTAAAGTATTTTATTAAAATTGATAACGTGTCAAGAGCTTCATCACTTCCGACTTGAACAAAAGTGAATTTGTTCCATTAAGTTTTGACAGTTTAATACGTTGTGGCGCCTTACAATGAGCCTTGACCATCTTGCAATGAGGTCAGTCGTTTCAATATTGCAGCTTTCCCATCACCAGAAATACAGATAAAGCATTTTGCTAAAGAAAAGGTTGTCATGTTGGGATGTGAGATGTGTATAAGCTGAAGGTTGTCGAATTTTCTGAGCTTTTGGAGAGTTTAGAGGAAAATTCAATTTAGCGGCTAAACCACACTGACAAGGGCAACACCAATGAGAAACGAAAAATTGTTGCATTTTACCTCATAGACGTTAAACTGATTCTGCCCTCGAGACAGCTCTCTGTAGCTGGTGGTGAACTCTCCAATAAAGTCGTGGCTGCAGACAGAAAAAAAAAAAAAAAAAAAAACACCCACACAGACAAGTAGCATGAAAACAAATTTTACAAACTGACAGAAATGTTGCTTTTTTTAATCTCCTTTCCATAATAAAATAGCACACATTCAACAACGTCTTTACTTTTTTTACCTACAAAATGTATTCATGGCATGACATGATTTTGATATTTTGTAAAAGTTGCATTAATAATAAGGGTATATAGCATGTCGTTATCAGCAAATGGTTTTACCTTCCATCTCGATCCCAATCATAGACGTCTATTTTCACTGTCCTTAAAAAATACAAACAAAAAGGAGAGGGTGACATTTATTTCTGCGACTTTACCACATCATCTTCTGTCAATCAAGGGAACAGCAAGTTCTGTTAAGAAAATCTTTTCTCTCCACCTCACCAGGAGCAGATGGAACAATTACACATTCACTGAATAAATAATAGAGCAGACTGAAGTGGATTGTTAGCGCAGTGGGTACAGGCTATTATCTGAACTCCGTGCTCAAACCAGTTTCCATCCGGTGAGAACGAACGAACAATTTCACCTGGAGGAGCGAGCGATGAATAAAAGATCTCAACTTTGAATGCATTACTATGCCAACAGTCCGATACACGGTATGTTGTTGAGCTGATATGAGCGGCACATCTTTTGGCTAAAGCAATTCAAGTTATTGAGTCATTAGCATACCAAGCGGGGAACTAGTTGTACACAAAGTCCTTCATGTAAAGAAAGCTCTTTGTATTATCTGTGAGACCTGTTTGTATTATCTGTAATCATTTGACTGTCCACTGTATTGTAGGATGAAAGACATGGCTTTATGTTGTGTTTTTTGCGGGAAGAAAAGTTGTTGTTTGTTAGTTTATCAGCATCTGCAAACACAAACGTATTATTTGGATACCAAATGAGAGAAGGGCTGAGCTTTGCATTTATTGGACCTGCACAGATGTGCTCAGCGAAATTGTCATTATGAAATGCCCTGCTAAGCAGTTTAATCGGCTTCTTCACCAGGACGTCATTAGGACTTCATTTAGGACTTAATTCTGATGCTCTTATAGGTTTTATTTAGCAGAAAATTAGAGTTCTGAATTATTATTATTATTATTATTACCTTTTTTTTTTTTTTTTTGGCAAATCCTATTGAGATCATGGCTCTCTGTTGACAGGTGGACAGTCAATCACAAAAGGAAATGTGTTTTAATTTAACACTCAATCTTTTTTTTTTTTACAGTTGAAAGTTACTCAGTGAGTACATTTAATAGCTGATCCAAAATGCAGCTGCCAGAGTTTTAATGAGAGTTGTTAGTAGGGATCGTATCTCTCCAGTTTTAACTTCTCTCCAGTGGCTCCCTGTCATATTCAGAATTGAATTCAGAATCTTCTAACCTACAAAGCTCTCAACAACCAAGCTCCATCTTATATTACGGATCTTATTGTTACATATATTCCTAACCGAGCACTTGGCTCTCAAACTGCATGTTTTCTTGTGGTTCCTAGAGTTTCCAAAGAAGCGCTTTGAATTATCAGGCTCCTCTCTTGTGGAACCAACTTCCAGTTTCTGTCCGTGAGGCTGACACATTGTCCAGTTTTTTAAGACTGGGCTTACGTCTTTTCTTTTGATAAATCAAAAAGAATTATGGAAAAGATTAGGGTTGGCTTGGTTTGCTGACCTATCCCTTATTCTATGCTACTATTGGCTTAACCGCTGGAGTAATTTCATCAAATTAATAGTTTTTATTTGTAATTATTTCTATCTTTACATGCATTTTTTTGTCTTTCTTTCTAGAGAGGGACCTGCTTGCCTCTATTCTGGACCTGCCATTCTGTGTCCGTTCCTCCTTCCTGTCCTCTCAAACCCAGCCGGTCGAAGCAGATGACTGCTTGTCCTGAGCCTGGTTCATCTGGAGGTTACTTATTATGATGAGGTTTTTTGTTTTTCTTTCCACTGTTGCCTTTGTGCATGCTCAGGATGGGAGACTGCAACGAAATGAAGACTCAACGCTATCTGCTGATTCCCTACTTTTGATAAATAATGTTACTATTTGAATTTTTATGTATGTGAATGTTTCTTTTCAGTGCCCTGAGATAATTCTGTTGTGGCTTGGCACTATATAAACAAACTGAGCTGAATTAAATTTAATACTGTCTACTTTGCAACAACACATGTTGCGACCATAGATTGTATACATCATGGACCAAATGTCCATACCTTTTTCATGTCAAGTCAAGTCAAGGTTCTTTATTGTCATTCGCATCCCATGTGGTACATGAGGTGGAGTGAAATTGTGTACACAGGGTCCCAGTTCCATCAAACAATATCAAATATATAAAGTGTAAAAAGAAACAGTAAATAAGGCTCTAAGATATAAACTGATACATGCTAAACGAATGCCCAATGGTACGCTAAAAGCTCTAAGATATACGTTAGTCACTAATAGTGCAAAACAATAAACCGAACAACAGCAGCACATATCTCATAAGTTCGGTTCAGCTATAGCAAAGCATGCAACAAAAACACAAAAGCAAGGCGTCAAAAGTGAAAAATAAATAAATCTACAGCAGCATGGTCCTATTGGCAGAGTGGTTCTGATGACAGTGAGGTTGTCTTAGCAACATGGCCCCGTTGACACCATGGGACTGCTAGCGGTGTGGTTCTTCTTTTTTTGTTGTTGGGAATTTAACCAGCAGAACCGATTGTATGAAGGCTGCTGCATATAAATGTTGGAACCAAAGACTGTAAGGGATGCGAGGCTTTAAGCCATGCCTACTCCAACTCTTACAATCATGGTGTCACATGAACTTTCGTTTAAGAATAAGATAACTAATTGCAGTAAAACAGAGAAAATGTTATGTTTGAATACACAGTTGCAAGGTGAACCAACAAGAATCAACCCCTGAAAAAAGTTATCTGAGGTTGTTTATTGTTGTTTGACCAAGGGCAATGTCCCATTCATTTACATGGAGGGGACAGGGTGTGAAACTTGCACGGCACCAATCAAGGACTGGGAGCTTGGTCTCATTCTGGTTGAAACTTTTGCCTTCCTGTTGGAGGTCTAGATACACACCTGGCCCCCAAAAAAAGTTGCCCCCCCAAACAGGCCACACACTAATATTTTGTTGGACCGCCTTTAGCTTTGATTACAGCATGCATTCACCGTGGCATTGTTTTGATAAGCTTCTGCAATGTCACAAAATCTATTTCCATCCAGTGTTGCATTAGTTTTTCACCAAGATCTTGCATTGATGACTAGACACTAGGCATGATGGGTGCATCACTTCACCTGCCTCTCTTCTTACCCTGATGCTCCCATCACTCTGGAACAGGGTCAATCTGGACTCATCAGACCACATGACCTTCTTCCATTGCTCCACAGTCCAATCTTTATGCTCCCTAGCAAATTGAAGCCTTTTTTCCAGTTAGCCTCACTGATTAGTGGTTTTCTTAAGGCGACACAGTTGTTCAATCGCAATCCCTTGAGTTCCCTTCACATTGTGCGAAATGCTCTTACTTTCACTATTAAACACAGCCCTGAGTGCTACTGTTGTTTTTCTTCAATTTGATTTCACCAAACGTTTAAGTGATCGCCGATCACGATCATTCAGGATTTTTTTCTGGTCACATTTCTTCCTCGAAGACGATGGGTCCTCACTCTCCTTCCAGTTTTTAATAATGCTTTGGACAGTTCTTAACCCAATTTCAGTGGTTTCTTCAATCTCCTTAGATGTTTTCTCTGCTTGATGCCAATGATTTGACTCTTCTCAAATAGACTGACATCTTTTCCACGACCACGCGATTTGTCTTTCGACATGGTTGTTTAAGAAATGAGAAGCAACTCATTGCACCAGTTGGGGTTAAATAACTTGTTGCAGCTGAAAGATAATCGCCCATGCAGTAATTATCCAATAGGAGGCTCGTACCTGTTTGCTTAGTTAAATCCAGGTGGCGACTTTTTTTTGACCAGGCAGTGTATATACAATCAGTGGTTGCAATGGACCCACAGTCTGTTCCAGCTCTAACTCTTTAATTTTAAGGTAAATAACCATCTGATGCAAAAGTGCTGAAGTGTAAAAATTTACAATAAAGCAATCACTTGAACTGCCATGCATTTATTTTAGGTTTAAGTTGTTTCAGAAACCTTGAATCCTCTTTTGATCATAATATTTTCTGGTTAGCTGTTAGTATCATGCCTCCAAAAGCATTTCCTCCTGATGCTCTTAACTGAAGTTTTTTTGACGCCTATGGTAAGATGCTGACTACTCATGATTGCTCCAAAAAAAAAAAAAACACTTCAGTAAAGAACTGAACTGTATCATTTATGTTAGAGTGGATGGTTAACTGCTATCTTTTCCCTGACAAATACATGATGGGAAAGTGGCAATGCAGAGCTGATCTTATCTGTATGTATCTGTTTATGTGAGCTGATTTCATTCTCGTTCTGAGTTGGATGCAGCTCTGATAAGGGCTGATTTTCACTCAAATGGGGTTCTAAATATATTCAATGATCTGTATGCTGTTTGTAAGATGGAAAAATGCTACTGTGGTTCTGCGAGCTATTTGCACCATTAATGTAACTTAGCCACATTTTTATTTATCACATCAAAAGCAATGCCCAAATGTTAGAATTACAGATGTTATGGGGTTTTTCATGCATCTCACACATATATATGGTATTGTTTGTAGTGTCTGCACCTTCGTCTGTACACTAGGCAAGGTCCAGCCTGATTATGTATGTATAGCACAATGCTGTGTGAAAACTGAGTCAGTCTCAATAACACCAGTGCTGGTCCTTGGGACACCATGACCGACTGCTGGCATTATTCTGACCGCCCCAGTAACAGGTGATGTCATCCACTTAAAAAGGCTGCATGTACCTTGTTGACACTGAAGTGTTCTTTATTCTAATTTAATCAGAGGAAACTGGTCCCCATAGAACCTAAGAATATCAGTCAACATATTTTTGAATGCAGTTTAGTAGTCTTTCCCAACCTGTCATAATCCCCATTGCAGAGCGCTCTAACAGGGATGGTGAAGGGCTGCCACACTGGGTTCAACGTGTTCTTGATCACCTCTGTCTTGTGGCAGATGGTAAACCTGAAGGAAAAATACCATATGTGAGGCCCCCGAAAGGGAGAGCACATTCATACTGCTCTCATCAAACCTGCAGAGACAATCGTCCTCTGCAATTTCAAAGTTGCATGTTATCACCTAAACATATCTGGGAGACAAAATAATTTCAGATGAACTGTTATTGTTACAGACAGCTTGGAGAGGCACATCTGTGAAAGAAAGCAAAACGCTGAAAAAAACAAGCCATGGTTTGTTCTACAGGCTGAATTGGCAGCCGCAGGCAGCTGAGATGAATAATGAAAAAAAAAAAAAAGGCTGTAAACCAGATGGGATAATTGGTATGATTGGATGGATACACTGTAAGTACAAACCTCTTTTTTTAGTGGGAGGCCACCACAGTCTTCCACTTTCAGCTTTAAACTAAGTAACACTGTGGATTTGCTGCGGGTTTGGTGCTTCGATCAGGATTTACTGTTAGTAATGGCGGCACTTTTGGATAATTGCCTGAAGTGGTTTTTAGCAGCAACCAGACCCTTATGTGACCCTTAAAAGCCAAACAAACCTCTGATGCCTTCTTTTTTTTAACATCATTTGATCTAATGTGTGATGCAGCAGTTCTGTCTAGGAATCCTAAACATAAAGGTATCAATAATATGCTGCCATGCTTCTTTTTTTTTTTTACTGTATTGATTTTTTTTTTATAAGTGATTTAACATTGATTGAGTTTTTCAAAGATGCTTGAAAACATACAGGTCTAGTACTTCAGGAATTATCAAGGAATGTGAAAAAACCTGCAACCCTTTCATGCCAGAGATTTAAACTAAGACGAGATAAGATTTAGATATGTTGAGAAAAAATGTAGCTGTTTTGGTCGGGCCTTAAAACATTATGTGCAATCTCATTCAATATTTTGAGAGGACACAGTCAGAGTGTGTGTTTTAAATGACTCTCAGCTACTTCCACATTACCATTTTAGCTCACATTGACATGTTTATATTGGCTAATGTCAATTAGTGGTGGTGGGCATCTTGAATTAGATTGACTCCAAAAGATAATTAGTTGTAGATGAACATGGGATAATTAATTATTCAAAAGTTTCATTAATTGACTGCCTGGTCAACCAAATAGTGGACCACGTTTTGAGTCGCTAAATTTCAAAGAAGGGAGTGCCTTAACTCAAACTGACTGAGCCATCTCTACCATTTGGTTAATGTATGTAATGCTAAAAATATCCACCAGATGGCACTGTGACAGTAAATGATAGGTTCTTCTTTCCCTCCACCAGACAGGCAGGAAGTCAAAAACCAGGAAAACAAACATGGCATCATGACTGTCTTTGAGCGCATTGGACATTTTTGAAAGGTATGGATACTTATTTTTACATATTTTGGTGATAAAGGCCTTAATAAATAGAATTATAACCTTTGATGAAGCACAAACACTCAAATTATGTTTAATTATTTTATTTAAATGTGCATGTGGTCAATTCATGATAGCAAATTCAAGCTAATGTCAATAAAAATGATAACTTGCTATAAAATCAACTTACTCAAACCATCTAGTTTATCTATTTCTGTAAATAGGACTCTAAGTGTTAGCACATCGTGAATATGCTGAAGGAATTTCCGTACTCCTTACTTTCACTGCTCCACCTGGGTGTATCCCAGGTGCGATGGGTTAAATGCAGAGAGCCAATCCCATCTTTGTATGGGGACATACAATGATGACAACACATAGCACTTTATTTATTATAAGTTTAACTATGTTAATATGATTAAAGTCGAGAAATAAATGTAGAAATGATCTTAGTACTATTTTAATGAAATAAGACAAGTTGGTGTAATTATACTAGTAGCTCAGGAAGAAGTTGTTAATTAAATGTTCATCTTTTTAACAAATGTCACTAAAAGGACACTAAAGCGTTGGGTATGGGTATGTTATAGAAAAGAATCATTGATTTTTGTCATCAATCACCGAAGGAAATATATATATGAAAAAAAAAAAAAATCACAGTTTGTCTTGGTGGGGTAGTTAAAGGTTAAAATCCAGCCCAGTAGTTGATGAGATAATTTGCTAACAGACAACCATTGACAAACAGTTAATGCTGAAGTTTTAAGCAACATTATTGTGCACTGAATATCACTTGGAATATGTTTTGTTAATGATTTTCAGCTACTACCATACCAAAGTTTAGCAAACTATGAATAAAATTGAGTTTTACACATTTTATTGTTTTCCAAGTTCAGTTGGGTATGGCAGACATGTAATTATGTTCTGAAAAAATTACTTGCAGTATATTTCTGTTGAGTATTTGTAAAACTGACTGAGCTGTATCTGTTTTTTGTACGTCATTTGTCTGTGGCAGCCATCTTGAATTGGGCTGACGCCATAAATGCACTTATACTGACTGCGTTCTGAAAGTTTCATTAAAAACTGTTTTATGGTTCTTGAGATATTTTGCTAACAAGATTTGCAAACAGGCAAAACCAATAAATATGTATAGCTTAATCATCTAGTCGAAGCTCCCAACAGCCTTCTTCAGTGGAGTTATGTTAAAATGTATGTGAATGTAAAATTTTCCAGGACATCCTTGTAAAAGAGATTGATGATCTCAATGAATTTCTCCCTGGTAAAATAAAGTGATAAAAATTAAATTAAATTAAAAAAAAATCAAAGTCAAACAAGTTAAGCCCACTCTAATTGGTCACACTTACGTTCCGTCTTCATTACTCCGGTAGAAAACCAGGAAGGGGTCAGACTTTCCAAAGAAGTCTTTCTTATCCAGCTTGTTGGCACACAACTGCATTGTAGCAATATCCTGTCAAGGAAGACAAGCAGATTTCAGTACAGTGATGCAACACCGTCCGTGCAGCCTCTTCTCTTTAGGAATTCATTCTTAACAACAAAAGCCAGAGAAGGACTTTGCTGCAACTGCTCTAAAACTTCAAATCTCTTAGAATAAGATGTAATAGGCAGTCTAGAAACAAAAAAAAGCCATGCATGGTGGAGACTGGACCACCAAGCAGCAGCAGTTGGGACACTTTAATAGGGGGTCCCATGTATGTCAGAGTCTTTGTTATGGATTGTTTCATATAAATTACACAATTTATTAGTGGGGAAAATAAATCTTATTATGGGATGTCTGCAATAAAGACAGAGCGGCAGAGGGGAATGCTTCATACATATGTATGAATGGCTGCAGCAGTTAATGAGGAGCTGTGTATTTCCTGCTACTGTGTCGAGCTGCCTAGGACAACAGACGAAGGAAGGAAAGAAGGAAGAATATATAGACTGATGAATAATTAGACCTCTTAGTCGATGTCTCCTGAGGGAGAGCATCATGGGACACCCTAAGCTTGCCATTGACAGCATTTGGATCTTGTTAGGAGCAAAACCTCCCAGAGTAGCAATGGTAAACACGACGACGATAATAAGCCTGTTCATATAATGGTCTCTGGAGTGCACACGGACACACACACAGAAACGAGAGGGGAGAATCCGGACGTTTCTGGTTGGTTGGCTGATGGTAACGTATGGATGTTTGAAAAACTGCAAAACCGGAGAGGAAAATCTCTTCATGGCAAAAAACCCAAGCAAACAGTTTGTATTAAACCCATTTAGAGAAGCAAGGCGAGGAGGTCTGGCAAACCAAATATTATGTGCTTAACCTTAAAAGAGGGTAGGAAGTTGATGGAATTGGGCACTCACTGATTATCTCTTTCAATAATCAACAGTTTTTATGTTGTCTGCCTAGGTGTGCATATGGGATTTGTGTGTGGAAGGAGACAATTGGAAACAGCCAGAAAAACCATTGCAGAAGATAATTTTCCATCTAAATTTGGGTTGTGTGTATTACTATGTGTGTATGTGTGTGTACTGACCCTGCAGTTACTGAGCTCCTCAGCAGTCAAGATTATGAGTCCACACTTCTTCCCCGGAATCCCACTGAGATGGTGAAGAAAGAGAGAGAGACACAGACGTGGTAACTGTATCGAAGCATGAATAATAAAAGTAGAAAGCAGATATCGTTCAGCGCTATAAGCTGCTACCGTGTCGGCAGACAGCCCTGCGTGCATTTACTTGTTTCTGAGAAAAACTCATAATGGGCAAGTCATTTCTAAAAATGGACAAGAGCAAATGAGCTAAAGTTACCGACACTGTGTTAGCTGTCAGGTTAAGTGCAGCTGTTTCCTGTACGCGTGTTCAGGCAGACTTGTCAAACATCATCACGGCGGGAATGTAGAAATATGTCAGATGTGGTGACAGAAACAGGCAGAGTTAGTTTCCGAGGACTGTTTATATCAGTTTAGGCACCCAAAGTGTTTTCAAGTAAAAATACTTCAGATTTTATCCAACCTGTTCATCCCTATTGTGTTTTCTTACCATTCTTTACAGAACATTTTTATCCCATCAACTCACCGTGTCTGAGGTTTAACTTGTTAGACACATTTGTTCATGCATTTTAAAGAAAACGAGACCAAAGTGTTTTTCTGTCTAAAGTGTGAATGCTGGGAGCTGAATGACTTCTGAATGAATTTTGCTAAAGAAACTAAAACTGAGTTGTTAAAGCTAAAAGAAGATGAATAATTGCTAAAAGCCAAAAATAGCAACATGTAAACTAAAAGCTATTAATGACTAAAGGCTAACTAAAGGCTAATTGTAACAACAGTCTAGCTAAAAGCTACAAGTAGCAATAGGCCTGCTCAAAGCCAAAAGTACCAAAACAGTTGCTTGTAGCTGAAAGGCTAGCCAAGGAGCTAAAAGTAGCGAAGGGCCAGTTAAAAGTTAAAATGACCAAAACTGAAGCTAAAATCTAAACTTTGCGAAAAACAGCTAAATGTTAAAAGTTGTAGAATGGTTGCTTAAAGACTTAAAGTAGCAACAGATTAAAATAAAATGCAAGTTTGCTGAAGCAGATTTTAAAGGGTATACTATTTTTGAAGAAATAACAAAAGAGCCTATTGTATTTCTATGAAAACAATTAATGCAATTAAACTTTTAAAAATAAATAAATTAGCAATTGACAAGAAACAAGTCATAGCATCCATCTCATGAATGAACTGAACTTTTTGATATATGAATCTAAACTAAAACAAAGTATGCAGATACTACATTGCTAAATAATAATAATAATAATAATACATTTAAAGAATCCACTGAAAAATATAAACCAAGGAAAACAATTCTGATTTATTTATTTATTTTTGTGAACTGAGTGTTGTTTCCATTTTTACCCCGTTTCAAAATATTTAATTAGCATTGTTTAGTTTTAGTTTTTGTTTGTTTGGTTTTTTACACAGTTTGACACCAACACATGGCGAAAACACATTTAAAGTAGCAATTGTTAAACTGGTGTCACATTAAACGAATAGTTTCATATGGATAGAAAACTAGAAAAGTCAAGTTTCAGGAATACATAATGATAAAAAAGATAAATATTAATGAAGAAGGTTTCAGCAGATAATAGAATTAAATGATAGGCTGCATATTAGATTCCACACTGATTTATGCAAGGGGGAAGAATAATCTGCTCTACCAAAAGTTGCATTATCGGATCATTTTCCATAATTCCATTGCATTTTATTTTTGTGTCCCGCTCAGGCACGATAGGTGACTAATAAACATAGTTGTTGTGAAGCATGGAAAAAAATGGCACCAAATGCTTAATGTGTCGGTGACAGCTGTGCTTTTGACATATTTACAAAGGGAACTGCTGTAAAAGGTAGACTAGCAGCCATGATGTCAGTGGTTTGAAGGGGTTCATTTCCATAAAGCCTGACAAATAAAGCATTATTAGCCGATGACTGATCCACTGTGCCATTAGTGGTCAAAGCCTCCACAGGGTGGTTTTAATGACACAAAATGACAGAAAAAGGTAACAATGTCATATTTTCTGGAACAGTTTAAATGGATTTGAAGTTCTCTAGGTAATTAAGTGCTAGATTTTTTGTCACAAAATAGGGTTTTCTGAACATTAAAGACAAACATCTCATGCAGTAAGCAATACTTGGTGGCTCGGTTGGTAGAGCTGTTGCCTCTCAGCAAGAAGGTTGCTGGATTGAATCCTGGCTGGGGCCTTTCTAGGTGCAGCTTGCATGTTCTCTCAGTGCATGCGTGGGTTTTCTCCGGGTACTCCGGTTTCCTCACACAGACCAAAAACATGCATGTTAGACTGATTGGTAACTCTAAATTGTCCCTAGGGAAGTGAGAGAGTGAATGGTTGTTTGTCTCGTTTGTCTCTATGTCCCTGTGATGGACTGGAGACCTGTCCATGGTGTCCCCACCTCTCGCACAGTGACTGCTGGATATGGGCACCAGTGACCCCCATGACCAGAAAAGGAAGAGGCAGGTAAAGATAATGGATGGATGAATGGATGATGGGGTAGAGGCAGGGCAGCCGACCTGGGACCTGGAGGCCCCAGGCTCGATCCCCAGCCATTCCCACATGTCGTGAAGCAAAGGTGAAATTTATAAGACTGAGTTTGTCGTGGCTCCTCAGACTAATGAAGGCTTCTGGATGAAAGACGAAACGTTTCAACAAAAATAAAACCATCTAGAGGACTTGACAACTTTGTTGGATTTTTCTACCTGGCTTATTGAGCATGATTATGGGAATAATTGAGCATTTTATAAATGTTAAAAATATGTTTAGGGAATTAGCCTCAGGTACTCCCACACCAAACCTTAGGTATCTGTAAAACTAACCGAGTTTGAACAATTTTGAGTGTTTTATTCATATATTTATTTACTTATTAGCTCAGTTGGCAACCAGTCTTTTATATATTTGTATATAAAATAAGATTTAATAATAAGGTGTAATTGTCTTTTTTTTTTTAAATAGTTATAGAGTTTCTCAGTTTTACTCAATTGTATAGTTTTAGAACACAAAATCATTTTGGACATTTCATTACAATAAGTCACAAGAACAAGCATGTGTGCAGACGTGCCACACACGTGCTTTATCTGCTTCCCAAACCGTCTTGTTGTTTCCAAGAAATTTTCAAGGTTACTGCTTGTTATTTCCATTTCACTTCCTTTTGTTTTTCTTCCATTTAAATTCACCCAGAACTTGAAGTCTTGACAACAAAGTGACTGCAGTAGGACAACATAATAGAAATAAAAAAACATTTGAACAAAGAAGACAGCGTGCATGTATAAATGTGCACGTACAAACCCTACACAGAAAGAGAAGACAGGAAGGAAGACAGAAAGGCAGTGAAGGACCAAACTCAAGAGCTGCTTTATTGCAAAAAATGAATGGAAAGGGATGTATGATAGATTGCAAAGTGATTATAAGAAAAAAGGCTAACAGTAATTATTGTAGCATGTTGCCAACATGAAACCAACAATTAGACACATCTGAATAAACTTGAATATCCAAAAAAAGAAAAGTGGGATGGATTTCTTTGTGCCGAGTCTTGTATAACTTGTAACATATCTTCACATTTTGAAGAAAATAAACGAAAAAAGTTTCCTGTTTAACTCTGACAGTTGTTCTGTGGTGTTTTTAAGTGCCAAGAACACACCAGTTCACCCCCAGCAGCATCTTGGAATGTAGACACGAAGCAGGTTCCAGAGTTGTGCAGTTCTGTACTGACAGAAACCGACAGCCGTCAGACCAAACAATGTTTGCTCACAGTTCCTCTGCCAAGACTTGGTGAACCAGTGTCCACAGCAGTCTTAGATGTCTCCTCTTGGCAAGGCCATGGGAAGTACTGGGAGCAAAGGGTGCATCAGCCTCCCCTGGTGGATGCCAGTCAAAATGCATGTCCAAATATGCAAAGAGTTAAAGAACGAAAAGAGTAAAAACTTGCTTCACTTGTGCTGCATGTGTTTAAAGTCAAACTGATTTTTATTCTTAATGATTTTTGTGCATCTGTTAGCCCATAAACCAGAGCCTTTACTGTTTATGTGAACAAGATTGTACAAATACAACTTTTTATTTCTTCTTCTTCTTTCGGCTGCTCCCTGCGTTAGGGGTCGCCACAGCGAACTAAGTCACACGAAGACTTTGCAGTTATTTTTATGCCGGATGCCCTTCCTGATGAGAGACCACCAAAGCTACTATAGCCCTCTCTGTGGAGCAGGGAGCTGCCATAGGGCACCTGGGGTGCAGCTGTTGAGGGTTAAGGGCCTTGCTCAAGGGCCCAGAGTGGAGCAAATAAGGGTGGAGTCAGGTGTGAGCGTTTCAACTTTCCCTCCCATATTTTGATGATGTCGGTCCAGGGAGTCAAACGGACGACCTTCCAATCACAGGCCCACCTTCTCTAACCTCTGCACCACCACTCCCCCACTGGCCATGACAGATAAGATACTTATTTTCAGACTTTTACATCCTGCCTTGTTTATCTGTTCCACAGTTATTTTGAAGTCCAACTCTTGCACAAAGGGAATCTGAAACTGATCTAGGATGCAGTTTCTGACCACTGTTAGTGAATATTTCAGCTTTGTTCCAGTTCACTTTTACCAGAACAATAATACAAAACAACAGCCTCATGAAAACACAACTGACAGACGTATTGTGCTTTGATATTAAAAGATAAAAAAAAAAAAAAGCTCAGCTAGACAGAACTGACAAAAGATGAAAGAAAACAGCAAAAAGAATTGGCCTTGTAAAAAAAAAAATAATAATAAAATCTGGAGGATGTGGAGAAAAGAGGGAGAGGAGCATGTTAGTCATTCACACCTCGTCTCTTAAATCTACAGCCTCGCATGACGTACTTTTCAAATCGATGGATTCTCTCGCTCACGCTGGCTCCCCAGCTGTAGCAGGCAGCAACAGTGAGAGAATTATTTATGAATTTACCTACACAGCGTTACCAGCTGCACACCCTCCAGCTAGGCCACCGGAAACATCAAGTGCCTGGACTCTGGAGCATCTGCCCGAGCCCTTACTGCTCCTAAACAGCAGAATAATAATGGCTTACTGTTATTCTGCCAGACTT